GGGGCGGGGAGGGGGGCGGGCGGCGGGGCCGCCGGTAACGCCTGGCTCTTTGCCCCCCGCTGCAGCCACCATGTTGACGCGACTTTTCAGCGAGCCCAGCCTGGTCCCCGAAGTCCCGAAATTCCCCGGTTGGGCCGAGGAGTGCGAGGAGGATGCCCGGAGCGAGAAGGAGGAGCGGGCGGGGAAGGGCTGCGCCCTTCCCGAGGAGCCGCCCGAGGGTTCGCTGGGAGAGAGCAAAGAGGAAGGGGAGCTAGGAGGGGACGAGGAGGAGGAGGAGGAGGAGGAGGAAGGCCTGGAGGAGGCGGAGGGCGAGCGGCCCAAGAAGCGCGGCCCCAAGAAGAGGAAGATGACGAAGGCTCGGCTGGAGCGGTCCAAGCTGCGGCGGCAGAAGGCGAACGCCCGGGAGAGGAACCGGATGCACGACCTGAACGCGGCCCTGGACAACCTGCGCAAGGTGGTTCCCTGCTACTCCAAAACCCAAAAACTCTCCAAAATCGAGACCCTCCGCTTGGCCAAGAACTACATCTGGGCTCTCTCCGAGATCCTGCGCTCGGGCAAGCGGCCCGACCTGGTCTCCTACGTGCAGACTCTGTGCAAGGGGCTGTCCCAGCCCACCACCAACCTGGTGGCCGGCTGCCTCCAGCTCAACTCCCGCAACTTCCTGACGGAGCAGGGGCAGGAGGGGGGTCGGTTCCACGGCCCCAACGCCGCCTCCTTCGCCGTGCACCCCTACCCCTACCCTTGCTCGCGGCTGGCCGCGGCGCCCTGCCCGCCCGCCGCCGGTCCCGGGCCGCACGGGCTGAGGACACACGGCTACTGCGCCTCCGCCTACGAGAGCCTCTACGGCAACACCTCCCCCGACTACAACAGCTCGGAGTACGACGGGGGGCTCAGCCCCCCGCTCTGCATCAACGGCAACTTCTCCCTCAAGCAGGACTCTTCATCCCCCGACCACGAGAAAAGCTACCACTACTCTATGCACTACTCGGCGCTGCCCGGCTCCCGGCCCGCCGCCCATAACCTGGTCTTCGGGTCGGCGGGGATGCGCGGGGGGGTCCACTCCGAGAACATCTTCCCCTACGACATGCACCTCCCGCACGAGCGGGGCCCCATGTACGAGGAGCTCAACGCCTTCTTCCACAACTGACCCCTTCCCCACACCCCTCCCCATCGCCGAGGTGGCGGGGAGGGGGGCGATACCCCACCCCCCACATCCCCAACCCCCCCCCCCAACCCGCGGCAGCCCCGCGGATCGGCCCCCGGGGCTCCGCCGTGGGCTTTGGTGCAATATGGGGACCCGGCCCCGGCGGCGGGTCCCCGCGCCCCGTGGGGACAAAGTGCTTTTTTGGGAGGATTTTTCCCCTTTTCCTTAATTTTTTTATTATTATTGTCGATTCCGTTATCTTAAAATTTTCGTTATTTATTGCTATTTCTTTATTGTTTAATGTAATTTATTTAGTTCTTTTATTATTATCGCTGTTGTCGTCGTTATTATTATAATAACTATCACAGCTATTATAACTACTGTAGTTACTACTACTACTATTATTATTATTATTATTATTATTATTATTATTATTATTATTATTATTATTATTATTATTATTATTATTATTGTTATTATTTTAATTTATTATTTTCCAGGGGGAGATGCCCCTCACGGGCCGACCCCCCCATCCAGCCCACCGGAGCCCCCCCGGTGCCCAGCACGACCCTCTGGGTCGAGCCGCTTCGTTTCATTTTTAATTCGTTTCAATTAAATTTTATATATTTATTTTTAAAAATATTTTCCCCCCCTCCCACCCCTTTTTTGGGCCGTTTCTCCCCTCCCCAGCCCTAACCCCGACCCCCCCGGACCCCCCCGGCATTGGACACCCGCTGCCCCGGCCCGTGGGAGCGAGAGGAGCCCGCGCTGCGGCGTGGAGCGAAACTTTCCGAAGCAATAAAGAGGCGCAGGGAGGAACGAACCCCAATTTCTATCTATGCAAGAGGCCCGGCCCGGCGGACGCTCCGAGATGCACTTTGCTTTGGGGGGGCCCCGGCCCCGCTCCCCGCCCCGGGAGCTCCTCGCAGCGCGTGTGTCAGGACGTTTTTTACCTGTTTTAAAAACATGAAACGGAAAACAAAACAAAACAAAACAAAACAACAAAAAAAAAAGAGAAAAAAATAGGAAAAAAAAAAAAAGGAAAAAAAATAACCATAATAATTAAAAAGAAAAAAAAAAAAATAATTACACCCCAACCCTCCCACGGAGCCGCCCCGGTTTTCCCGAGCTGGCGGAGCCGGGAAGCGCAGCCCGCAGCTATGCAAGCGGGGCTCCGGGGGGGCTGGTGGGGCTGCGCCCCCCCCGCGGCGCCCGGCCCGGGGGTCTCCGTCCCGGTTTGCCGCATTCCTTTAGCCGGGAGACGCCGGGAAGCCGATAATGCTTTTTTTTTTTTTGTTGAGTTTTCTTTGTTTTTTGGGATTTTTCTTTTTTCTTTTTTTTTTTTTTTTTGTCGGAACCTGCCCGCACCACCTTCGAGAAACCAGCATTTTTAGAGACCAGGGAGGAGGAGAGGAGGAGGATTTCTGAGAAATGTTTTGAAAACGAAAAAAAAAAAAAAAAGAAAACGAAAAAAAAAAAAGAAAAAACGGAGGGAAAAAAGGAAAGAAAAAAGTTTTGGGGAAAAAAAAAAACTAAAACGGGGAAAAAAAACAAAAAAAAAAAGGGAAAAAGAAACAAAAACCCACAAACCGTTGTAGCAAAGGGGACCCGCTGCCCGACACCAGAAGTGCTTTCGTGTTTCCGTTCCGTTTCATTTCGATTAATAAATATTTATGGCCAACGATATGCAAGACCCCCCCCGTGCCGGGCGCCGCTCCCGCTCCCCGGTCCCGGTTCCCGGTCCCCGTCCCCGCCGCCCGGACACTGCTCGGCGGCTGCGGAGCGCGGGGCGCGGGGCCGGGGGGCCCGGCCGTACTGCATGCACCGGCCCCCTCCCCTCCCTCCCGGGGCCGCCCCCCCCCGGCCCCGCTGGACGCTCGTGGCCCGGTCCCGGTCCCGCCAGGACTCGTCGGCCGTGACGAGCCGCCGCCTGTGCGATCGCGGCGAGCCTGTAATTACCGAGCGTCCTTCGACGGCGATTAATAAATATTCAATGTTGACTCCGCCGCCTTCGCCGCTTTCCTTCCGCCCCGGGGGCACCGGGGGCACCGGGGGCGCCGGGCCGAGCCCCCCACCCCCCGCCCCCGGCGGTGCCACCGCCGCTCCCGCCGCCCGAATGCGCGGCCCGCGGGGCGGCGGCGCTGATATAACGCGGCTCTGCCCCACGGGTGTCCCCCCCGGGACCGGGGAGGCGGTGTCCCCCCTTCACCAATAAAGGCACCGGGATCCGGTGCTGCGGCCCGGCTCGGTCCACCGGCGGTGACACCGCTCCGGTCCCCTGGGAGGGGGAGCTCGGAGCTCGGTGCCCGGGGCTGGCACCAGGCCGCGGTGCCCGTGGCCTCGGGAAGGGTGCGCGATGCCGGTAGCCAAGGCCGGGTTCCTCGGTCGGCTCCCGGCGCCGTGCCCGGGGCTGGTGCCGGTTCCTGGTGCTGCTTCCCGATGGCGCCTCGGCTCGGTGCCCGGTGCCAGCGCCGGTGCCAGCGTTGATGCTTGTGCCGGTTCCCGGCGCTGGCGCACTTTGGAGCCCCGGAAGCTCCCGCGCCGGTTCAGGGAGCCGGTGCCCGTGGGAGCCCCGCGACCTCCGATGCGGCTCCGGTGCCACTGCCCGTGCCCAATATCCGGTGGCGTTCCCGGTACCCGGTGCCGGTGCCCGGTGGAGCCCGGGGAGCGCGGCGCGGTGCCGGTGCCCGGAGCGGAGCTGTCCGCTGCAGCGGTGCTGAACGGGCTCCCGGGCCTCTTAACGGCCGTCGGTTTATTTCCCGTCCGCAGCACCGGGGCTCATCGCCGCCCGACGGCCGGCGGCCCCGCGCAGGGTCGGGCACTGCGCTCCCGGTCTCATCGGGCTCGTGGGGGTCGGTTGTCCGCAGGATCATCGTACACCGGGGCCGCACCGGGGCTGCGGGGACGGAGCCACCGGTTTCCTCCCGGGAGAGGTGTCCGATACCGCGTCCCGCAGCCCCGCGGCTTTTGGGGATAAACGGGGCCGGTTTAGGGTCGGGCCGTGACTTCAAACTGGGGCCGGATCCAGCGCGGCCCCGACGTGCTGGGTCCCGTCCCAGAGCCGCCGGCGGCGAGGAGTCGGGCCCGGGCCGGGGAGCGGATCCGCCACGGCCCCACGAGCCCCCGGTCGGGCCCCGGCACTCGCCGCTCTCCGCAAAGCAGCGGCTCCTCTTCCGACGGCTCTGGCCCCAACAACCTCCCGGGACTCGTTTCTCGGGGGAAAAAGTCCCGGGAGGACCCGGGGACAATCTATGGGGACTGTCGGAGGCTCCGTGGGGCCGAGGCTGTCGATGTGCGGCCCTTCTTCCGCCATCCGCTACCAGCGGCACCGGGGCCGCTGCCCGGAGCAGCGGCGGCGAAGGGCGGATGCCCCCGCGGAGGGGAGGAGGGGGACGCGGGGGCCGGGGGCTGCGGGGGGGCCGCCGACATCTGCTCCCGAGGCCGGCTATGCCAGGGGTGCCGGCCCCGGTGGCGGGGTCTACGGTTTATGTTCAATTATCCGGATTTTTGTTTCCCCGGTGCCCGCCCGGCCTCGCCGAAGATGCGGGAACCGGCCCGGCTGCTCCGGCAAGGCCCCGGCCCCGCAATGCGGCCCCGCACTCGCTGCACGGCCCCGGTGCAAAGCTCCGGAGAACAGCCCCGGTGCAAAGCTCCGGTGGAAGGTTTTGGTGCACGGTCCCCGTGAACGGTTTCGTTGCAAAGCTCCGGTTCCCGGCCTCGGTACGAGGTTCCGGTGCCCGGTGCTGGTGCCCTGTTCCGAAACACAGCGGCGGTTCAAGGCTCCGGTGCCCGGCGCGGTTCACAGCTCCGGTGTCCGGTGCCCAGCCCTTCCGCCAAGCGGCCCCGGTGCCCGGCGGCTCTCGGGGAGGGAAGCGGGAGGTCGGGAGCCGCCGCCCCGCCGTGTTCTGCGAGTGTTTCGTGTGACCGTGGCATCAAATTCACCCCGGGAGTGTGGAGAGGTCTGGGGAGCTGCCGGGACCCCGCGCGGCTGCACCGGGGGCAGCGGAGCTCGGCCAGCACCGAGGGGACCTCGCGGTGGCGGCGCTCCCGGACCCAGCCCCGCTGTTTCAAAGCGGGATGCGATGGCGGTGGGTGTCTCCCCCCTACCCTGAACCCCCGGTGCCCGCTGTGCCCCCGGTGCCCGCTGGCCCGGCCCCTCTCCCGGCCCGGCGGAGCGCGGCGGGGGCGCGGGGCGAGCGCCAGCTCCGGGTCGCCGCTGCCACCGGCGAGTGCCAGCCGGGGGGGGGGGGAGGAGGAGTCATTGCTTCAGTTTAAATTTCATGGCATCTGTTCATTATTATACAGTGCGGATTTTTATATGGACAGCTAAATTAAAGACAGATTTCTGCCAAAATTGCAGATACCATAAAAAACCGGAGGCTCCCGGCGCCCGGCGCTCGCCTCGCTGCGGAGGCGGCCCCGCTCCGGGGGCCGGGGGCTGCCAGGGGGTCGGGAGGGATGTGGGGGACCTGGAGGGGTGTGGGGGTCCGAGGTGGGGGGCTGTCCCCGTTTTTGTGAGATGGGGAGCTCAGGACGCCGACCCCCGTGGGGAGCGGGGGGTCCCGGTGGTCCCCGGAGCCGCGGCCGGGGCGGGCCGGGCTGGCAACGATCCCCGCCGCCCCGGGGGCTGCAGAGCCGCCCCCTCCCCCGCCCGGTCTGCCAGGCTCCATCGCAGAGGAGTTAAAACAAGGACATCTGTGCCTGGAATCGCTGCGAAGCTCCGAACCTGCCAGCGCCTGCTGGCACCGGCCGCCGGCGGAGGCGGCTTCTCCGGAATGCGGCACCGCCGGCAGCTCCGCCCGGAGCCCCGGCCCGGCCCCGAGGGCTGCGAGGCCAGGAGGGCCTTGGCCCGGCTGGGCAGTGTCCTCACCTGTGTCTGCCCCCATCGTGCCCCCGCCAGTCGCAGCCCCGTGGGGGTCGTGTTTTTGTCCCCCATTTACCCCCTGCCCCACTGAGTCCTGTCCCACATCCCCACGCTGGGTACGGGGGTGAGGAGAGGGCCC